CTTCATTGGTAGGCCCAAACTCATAGCAACTTGTGTTCTTGTGGTTTAAATCCACCTGCTTTAAGTCACTTAGTTTTTCAGCTGATGAGTTACATTCACTTTGTGAAAAGGATTAAAATTAGATAAAAATGGATAAAAACTTCACATCCACACAAACTATTACCACTTCATAACGATGTTAACTGATATAAATCAATCATCAAAAGAGGAAACCAGAAGAGTCCAGAAACTGTCTCAGCCAGCAAACATTTGATCTTCTTGAGAAGAAGAGAGATGTGGTAAACAAAGGCAGTACCAGTTTAGAAAACAAACGTCTTAATTCAGTTTTAAGCTATTAATGCATAAATTTGTTTGTAAAATCTTATAGAGGAAGATGGTAGGAAAACTATGAGCTAAATTATCTCATAAAATAATGAGAAACAGTAGAAAAAAGAACAAGTTTATTGAACATTTGTGATTATAAACACAAATGTGTTACAAACAAAAAAACAACTAAGCAAAATCAGCCTGAGGGCATTAAAGGATGAAAATTGTAAATTGTGAAGAAAAAAATGGAAAGATCTATCAGTATTTCTATAACAAACACCTCCCTCTATCAACGAGAGCACATCTACCACATTTGGATTCTAACATCATAGTCCCAGATGTGGTTCATGAAGAAATAGAAACACCAGGAAAAAAAAAAAGAAAAACAGCTGGATCAGACCAATTACACAAAAAGAAGCAAATCAGTTAAATCTTTGTTGGATTCATTAGCCCATCTCATGCCATATAAAAAAGTCATATCATGCCACATAAGGAAGACTATTTAGGGGAGAATTTTAAAGTGCGTTTTTTTCCAATAAAAGTGTAAATTATTATTATAATAATTAAGTGCCTAGCATGTGCTAGGGATATAAATATCATGAACGAAATGATCCTTTTTCTCAAGGAGTTTACAAGGTCACAAGATACCTGATAAAAGCAAGCATTCCAAATGCTTAGAAAAAAATCAGGGACTTGGTAAAATCATTGTTTAAAAAAAGGTAATGAATAAAATATCAATGTAATACCTTCCTACTAGCCTTTCATTCTGATTCCCTCCTACTTGTCAGGAATTATAGAGCGAGAATGCACCAAGGGCTGAAAAGAAATAGGAGGAAGAGAAGAAAAGTAGAGGAAGAAAGAACCACCAGGGTTCCAGCTGACAAAGAATGGTATGGAAAGACACAAAGAGCCAGGGCTAAAGAGACACAGACCCCAGAAGTAAGGTTCTGGCAGTTCAAAGTGGGGCTGGAAAATGGCAGCATGAGAGGAGTCTCTATTCCAGGGTTCACCCACTAGTCCAGTCCACCAGCAATAAACAAGATTCAAGGAGCGATCAAGGTCCTACATGGCCCAGCCAATAAGATAACCATGCAGAGAAGCTGTGAGGGGACGAGATCAGAGGTCCAAAGCAGTAACAAAGCATTGAGGGGAAAAAATTAGCAAGAGGAAAAATAAGTGCTGCATGTCCAAAGTTCCTTCAACTGACTGGACACTGAATATTCCTAAGATCATGAGGGGAACAGCACTGGAGATGCTTGTTAGCTCCCAGTAAGAGTAGCTAATAGGGAGGTATGAGTCTAAACATGGGAAATGCCTCCCTGGAACTCCAGGGTTTGAGGAATGCCTATAGATTCATTAACAGTTGCATGGCTCTAGGAGAAACTGTGGGCATGCAGAACAGGAGTTATTTTTATATATTTTATTTTATTCCTTTTAAATTTATTTATGGGTATAAATAAAGAACTACATAGTTTAATTATAACTACATAGTTAATATAGCTTCATTGA